TGATTTAGAATTTTTCACCTTATATGCATTTATCTAAATTCCTTCATACATGAAGCACAATGACAGAAAAATACGCTGAATAAGTGTCAACCCAAGTGAATATCAAGCAGAACCATTGAAGTTAAGGAATTATACAAGCCTGCACCAATGGACTAACAGAGGAAGTCATTGAACCAACTCCCCTGTTAGTAACAGGGATGCACAATTCTTGCCAGACACCACAAACAGGCTATCATTTATTGACTGCTTCCTGAAAATTGAGAAAAAGGCAAAAAAGTAACCAAGGAAAAAATAAGAAGCTCAGGAAAAACAGTAATGAATGTATAAAGAAGGTCACGGAGACCCAAAGCAAAGGAGAGAAAGTTTAATGAAGTAATTTGGGATAGACAGCCATCAGACAAGAGAAACTTATCTTGACCCCACCCTACCTGCAATACCCTCTTCACCTGTACACATTTGAGATCTTGCAGGTGTCTGTCTTCACACAAGTCTGCAGAAGGGCACATAGCTGCTGTGACTTGAATCGCAGAATGGAACTTGACTATTCTCAGCCTTCTAATATGATATTTTCTCCAACCTCATCCACCCAAATCCCCAGGTTCTATACATGGGTACTTTAATGAAGGAACCTACCAACTTCACCCTGCCTGAAATTTAGCTCTGATAGCTATTGGTTTCCAGGCTTGGTTTGGTTTGTTCATTTTTTTAAACAGTTGAAAAGAACTTGAACTGGAAGGAAGGAGATGATGGGAAAAGTCCACAATTTTAACAGGGGAAGAATTGAACAAAAGATGTTTTTAAAAATCGTTGATTTTTCTCTTCAGATTGATTTAGCAGCTGCCTATAAGGAAGGTAGTGGATACCTAGCTTGTTCTGCAGGGAGTGCAGCCTTTTTGCAGTGGAAATTGTGTGGCCTCCCGTGCTATTAGCCTTTTGCTGTGGCGTTGCCAACTGATTTCTCCAATTCTCTTTTCTCAGTGGGCTAGAACGCAGCTGGTTAAATAGGCCGTGACTCACATAAGCTCCCATGTCTTTTTTTATTGACTGCTTTATGGAAATGTATCACACTCCAAAGGGTCCCTATTGTTGTTGCCGTGCATAGCTGACTGAAGAGTCATGTTTAGTGCTGAGAGATGGAATCCTATCCTGTCTTTCTTTATTGCAGAGTTGGGTGTGGGTGGGACTCAAGGGTTTAAAGGAATCTGAATGAAGAGAGAAGGATGTCTGAGAATTTCTTTTATCTTCATCTGCCATGGAAGTTGGGTGGCCATCACTTCTGGGTAACACACCTCTCTGTTGATCTTATCTTTATGGCCCACATCCTTCAGCTAAGTGAATCTTTTCTTTATATGGGTTATTCTGAGAGATTTAGTTAAGCACAGTGGTAGAGAAAGATTATGACACTAACACAATTCTGGTTTGTGCTGATATAATGTAATACACCCTTAGGTTTATCCAAGAGGGTCATTTATTCCCAGTAAATTGAAATCATTTCTAGTTTTTTATTATGGTGATAATATCGTTTTGCAGGAAATAAACAAAAAGCTCTTTTTTAATTATATACTTAAATATATTTTTTTGCCTTAAAATAGCAACTTCTAAAATTGTTTGTGGGTTCTTCTTATTTTTAATATCATCCTGCAAAGCATTTACATACTCTCTACTACACATTAAGTAGCTCTGGGCAGATCTGTTTGTTTGCCAGTAGGTGTGGATCCAGGCACATAAGACTCCTCTTGCTTCATCTTCCCATGGTCTGGCCGGACTTGTGCATCCACCAGTTCTTAATCAGTAGGACTCTGAGCTAACAGTGAAATAGGAGATGACTTCAGGGTCACAATGGCTACCCATCATCATGTGTGGATTTGTCTGATAGATCAGGAAGCTAATGAGATTGAGCTGAGTCAACTTGACATGGAGAACAACTCTGTCATTGTACTCACCACGATGCCTACACAGTCAATAGAATAGAGACTGATTTCATTCGATTGCCTATTTTTTATTTCATAGCCATTCTAAACATTGCCTATAATCCCATTTTTTTCCCACAGCCCATCAGGGAAACCAAGCAACAGAGTTCATTGATACAAATTCCCTCTAATGAGGATGAGAACAATATAACACATCTTACTAACTACGTACAAAAACACATCATATTTTTTAAAAATATTTCCAACTCTATTACTCTTCAGAATCTTGTTCGTAAACCACCAACTGAGAAAATTCAGCAATTCATTCAGTGCCCAATTTTAGCAAACTGAGATTGACTATAGGGGAGAGAAGGTGGGGATGGTGCTATCCCTCCTGTCCTAGAATTAGTGACTTGGAGTTCAAGCATCTCTGCTGTATTATGCCTTTGTTTTCTTGGTGGTGACATTCTTGGGTTTCAGTTGGTGGGGAGAGAAAAGCCTCATGCTGATAATGTACTGAAAGTAAATGAAATTAAATAAGCGAAGCAGTGCTCATCACTACTTCCTCCCCCCTGGGTAATTCAATTCAAGCTCTCTCTCTGATGGCAACTCACAGGGGCTGTCTCTGTCACCCCGCTGGGGCCTGGAGTCTTAACATCTAAATAAAAGTTTCACTCAAGCATTTTTTATGCTCCTGCCAGCAGGATCAGTGAGCTGGTGTGGCACATTAATGTAATATTCATACTCACAGACTCTCCCCGCACACGAGGCAATGTCTTCCCATTTTCATAATTATAGATGTTCCACAAAATGGCATTTAGATTTGCATTAAAAAAGGAGGTTTGAATTCTAATAGAACATTTAACATGTCTTTTATGATTCAGATTCTTGGCATCTTCAACAAGAAGCTGTGTCTCCAAGTTTAACAAGACCTTTAAAAAGAAAAAAAAAAAAAAAAAGAAGGAAAAACTTGTGAGAGAAGAGATGGAAACTCCAAGCTCAGGGGATCCTGTTTATCCTATCCCCTGTGTCTTTCATTTAAATTTTAGGTCTCCAGGAGCAATTTTTCCACGGTACTTCAGAAATTAGTTTTCCTTCAAGGGCCTACTCCGCCATCCTGTCCTCACCTCACCTATTGTCCCACCCCCAGTAGAATCTGCTATTTCTTGGAGCATGTTTTTAGAGGGACATTAGAATTTTCAGTGGTGTAGGATAAATGAAAGAATTCTAGAAAAATGAACTTTCCTTTGGTATGGTTCATCTCATCCACACACCCTGAGACCCATCTAGAAGAATTTACGGCAGCCACAGCCTTTGTAAACTATATAACATAAAAGTGAAAATAGTCTATGATCAAGGAAGTTAACAATAAGGACCCATTGAATAAAGAGACACATAAGCATACTGATAAAGAAAAAGGCTCCTCTGATCTATTCTTGAAACAGCCTAGAAGCAAAAGGTAATCCTAACTGCATTTTAAATTGTCTTAAAATAGCCAGGTGCAGTAGGCCACGTGCCTGTAATCCCAGCAAATCAGGAGGCTGAGGCAGGAGGATTGCAAGTTTTAGGCCAGCCTCAGACTCTAAGCAATTTAGCCAGACTCTGTCTCAAAACAAAAATAAAAGAATTGGGGCTGAGGCTGTGGTTAACTGCCCTGGGGTTCAAGCCCCAGTACCAAAAATAAATAAATAGTCTTTAAACAAAAAGTGGGTAAAGCACTGAACCAAGTGCCACCCCATAGCCAGCACTGAGTGAATGTTGATCACTGTAGGAGATGTTTAAAAGCCAATTGTTTTATTGAAAAAAGCATTTCACCTCAAAGTCTCAAGATAGCATATAGATGGCCTGATTGATTCATATGGTGATTGTGACTTACTTTCTTTTGTATTTGGTTTGCTTTATAACTTTTTTTAAAGAAGAGATTTGAATTAAAAAACTAAAAAACAAGTAAATATTTAGATTCTGCTAGCCCACTCCCTTTCATTTTTCTTATATGGAATTGGGCTGGGGGTGTGCTCAGTGGTAGAGCCTGTGCTTTGATCCTGAGCCACAAAACAGAAAGGGAAGGAAAAGAGGGAGGGAAAAAGGGACAGAGGGTTGGTTATATTCTTTAAAGAATTGGGGGGGGAGAGGGTCTTGTTTTATTTTATTTTTGAGGAATAAACTCCTCCCTCAGTCTTTTGCCCCATAGGATAAGGATAAACCCTGTGGAGGAAGAAGGATTAGCATCTTGATTTTTTCAATAAATTTGTACCTAAGGAGGCTGTTGAAAGCCAAATGTCAGCAGCATACAACTCAAGGCTGATGTCAGTTCCAGGGTCTTCTTTTTATTTCATTTTTTTAAATTTTTTTAGTTGTCAATGGACCTTTATTTTATTTATTTATATGTGGTGCTGAGAATCGAACCCAGTACCTCACACATGCTAGGCAAGTGCTCTACCACTGAGCCACATCCCCAGCCCAGGGTCTTCTCTTTTGTTAAGGCTTTAAGGACCCTTAGACTCCTTCCCATTCTTTAAAGAAACCAAGATTTGGCAGTTATTGCCAAGTTCACCTTGCATAGCCCTTCTTTGTGTGAACTTAATAAAATTTATGTTCACAGAGTGGCTTTCTGGGTTTTTTTAAAATTTATTTAAAAAGGAAGAAAGAAGAAAAAAGATGAATATATTCATTTTCCCCTCTGAGGTGACCACATTTATAGTGGAATCTATCAGTCATTAAGTCTTCTCTGAGCTGATAACTAGCCATTTGACTTTTGATTATCTCAGTGTGGATTATCCAATTTGTAGCTTATATCCACAGCAAATTCTTAATTCCCTGGAGTCCTTTTCCTGCCAATCAGTACATAGTTACGCTACCTCCCTTGTCACAAATTAATGTATGCTTAGATCATTTTAAGTGATATTAGCATTAGATATAATTAGGAAGAGAGAAAATTAACTTTTTCCCCAATCATATAGAAAATGTTTTATTTTGTGCTGTGTTTAGGTAATTGCCCTTTATACTCCGTCATTAATGTGAATTATCTAAAGTAGACTAAGTGAAATTTTGTCAGGTTTCAACAAAGCATTCTGCTGTTGTTCCTTTTAGGAATGGAAGACGTCATAAGAGGAGCTCAAGAACTTGATAACATCATCAAGCAAGGATACTTAGAGAAGAAAAGCAAAGGTATTGATCCAACCCAGAGACAGCAGAACATTCCCGGAAGGGAAATGATGAAAAAAAAAAAAAGGTTAACTGATCAGGTACCCTCTCTGTGCCCAACACTGTGCTTGACAGACGTCTAGTGGACTCTGTCACTCATTAAATGATAAACTTAATGCGAGGAGAGGAAAGACAAGAAGTCTGGTGTTAGTATGTGTAGACTGCAGAGAGATGGCCAGAATCTTTAGCAGACTGGGAGCTCCCTCAGGATGGGGATTGATTAGGTTCTGCTCATACCTGTACTTGCAGTGCCTGCTACAAACAGGTGCTTAATAAAGCTTGTTGAATGAATGAATGATATTTTTGTTCTCATCTCTCAGTGAGCTCCTATAGTAGAGAAACTGTTTTACTAAGAGCGTAGCTTTTATATCATGCATAAAGCAGCACACTCCCAAATTTCCAACAAGCCCAACTCTTGATCTTTATTTAAACTTATTCCATTAGAATATAGAATAGGAACTACTAGGACTGAAGTCCCAAGATTGCCACTCAACTGACAAATTGGTTTAGCACCACCCCCCCCAAAAAAAGAAAAAAAAAAAAACTTTCTCATGGCCATGGCCTGGAGTATCATTCTGGTTTGTCAAAGGCAACACGTAAAGATGTTGTGGAGAGTTTGAAAAGGACAGGATGAGATCAGAACCTGAAAGATATAAAGGAAGCTAGATGAAAAGACAGCTGGGAGGGCACAGAGCAGGCAACCCTGTTTAGAACTTGGACCTTAAACGGAGCTTGTCCTCTGGACTCTGAGTCAATATGGGATAACCTGTGGGAGTGAGAGGGAGGGTTTTACAGTCCATTAACCTGGGAAATAAAACAATAACACGCTGGACTGTGTGTAGTTGGATTTTACGGACTCTTCAGTGATTGTAGTTACCTGAATTTATGTCTCCTACTGCTGTTCTGTGTAGATCATAGTTTCTTCGGCTCTGAGTGGCAGAAGCGATGGTGTGTTGTCAGCAGAGGCTTCTTCTACTACTATGCTAATGAGAAAAGTAAGTGTTCTTCATTTGCACAGCAGCATCTCACTCCTGGATGCAAGCACTTCGTAAATTCTCAAGCACTTAGGTCTCCAGATAGCAGTCCTTAACTAACACCCAGAAAGGGACACGCTTAAGAAAGAAAGAGGCTTGGGCAAATAATACTTTTCCAGTCACCAAAAACAGATGTCAATTTAGAGTTCCACCTTTAAACATTAGGATAGTATAGTTGATATATCATATGGTTATCTTTTATTGAGACCAATAGCACAATATTTTCCAAATTGAATGTGTTGGTATACTTAAAAAAAAAAAGAAACCTCAAATTCTTTGTAGGCATTAATGAGATAGCTAAAATATAAATATTGGGGGATAGGTAGAGTGGGGGTGTGGCTCGGTGATAAAGTGCTTGCCTAGCATGCACAGGACCTTGGATTTGCTCTCCAGTATAATAATAATAATAATAACAACAATAACAATAATAATAATTCAGAGAAATATTTAAACAGCTTACCAGTGGCCCAGAAAAAGAATCCTAGGGTTCAGACTCTCTTAAAGCCTCTCCAAACTTTGAGCCTGACTATTGGGAAGTAATCCAGTGGACATCCCTAGAGCCATAGAGTGTTGAGACCCAAATGGTTGCTGTGCCCAAGAGACACCCTTCAGCCAGATGGCAGCAGCAGCAAAGTGTTGACTCAGGCCAGAGGCAGTTTTTTAATGAGCCACCACTGACTCAATCAAGCACAACACTCATGAGCTATCCCTAGAAGACCTCTCATCCATGTTTAACATAGTTGCTTAGTTCACAAGAGAGAGGAAAGGATATAAGCACAAGTTAAGGCAGCTACAAATAAACACAAGCTAAAAATTATTTTTGTACACTAATGCAAACTTTCAAGTAAGGGATACTGCTTGGTAGAGTTGGGCAGTCCCAGAAGTAATTTAGGAAGCAAGAGAAAAAGAGAGAGTAAATCAAGCATCCACTCTTGCAGGGGCTTCCTGTGCATCTACCACCTTCATACAGGGGCCAGTGATAAAGTTACAAAATAGAACTTTCTTTTTCCTTCCAATTATTTTCCATTTTGCCTCTGTTTCTCCTTTTTAAACCCTATTCCTCTCCTGGATATTCGGTCTAGAGAACAATCAAATACCTGCCCAATTGCCTTTGGACTTTCTGCCACCTTTGGTAGGTACTAAAGTAGCAGAAAGAGCTGTTGCTCAGTGACCTGGAATCCTTAAGATCTGCCCTTGACTTCGTGGCAGTTGCCTTTCTCAGCCTCCCTGCCTGCAGCAGGTGTCCCTGACCTTTGTCTTCCAGTCACCATCCTGGATTCCTCAGAACCCTCCCATCCAAGGGTAAAGTGTGAAGCCCTGCTTGGAATTGATACAGCACACCTTGAAAACTGAGGAACAAATCCCCCTTGTCCTTCTACCCATCCCCACCCAGCCCACTCTCAAATCCAGCAACCACAGTTTCACCTCTGAACTCTAGGCACATGAGCCAGACAGGTGTTCTTTTCTTCAACCTATTAGGACATTTGGGCCATTGTAAAAAATGTCCATCATTTCTCCTGCATTTAAATAGATGGTTGGCATATCTGGATAGAAAGCCAGGTATCCTCTCTGTTCATTCAGAATCCTTTACACTCACTGGGAAAGAGGCGGGGGCTGGGGGGTGGGGGGAGAATAAGAGCAAGAGGCTCGGAGACTTTTATTGACCGTTTGGCCATCAGAGTGAAATAAAATCTGGTGACCAAAGAAACAACAAAACGTTTTAGTGGCCAGTTAGAACAAGGAGAGATACTTTAACAAAAAAGATTCTGGTGTCAAAAAGCACTGTTGCGCGGTTCCCTTCTCGACAGTTACTTCTTATTGCGCCCAGGACAATTTCTTAGTAAGTATAGTGTTCGTATGTTTCTTTTAGCTCAACCAGGTGAGGACAGTCTTTTTTTCTTCTTTTCTTTTCTTTTTTAATTTTGCCATCCCACTTTCTTCTTTACGTCATCATTAAAAAAAAACTCAATTTATTTCACCTGACAGGGGACACAAGCATCCCCCACACTGTGGATGCTGTCCTCTATGTGTCCTGCCTGACATAAAATCTTTCTGAGCCACCTCTTCTTTGCCTGTTTCTAATATTTTATTTTCAAAAAGTAAAAAAGAAGAAAAAGTGATAAGTAGAGTAGTGTCTCCTTTCTGTCACTCAGGGTCCTTTTCCTTTTATCTCCTTCCTTATCATCTAGTGACACTCAATAGTCCTCTGCTTCTTTCCTAATTTGTCCTCTTGAAAGGAGAATGAAATACTGAGTTTTAATTATTCTCCCTCTAGCATAAATTCCCACCTGAGAAGCAGGGGAGGGGGAAGAATAGTTTAGCCCAAATGCCACATAAAGCATGGGAGGAGATTCCAGGACCTTATAATGCCCGTGTGCTGCTGTCCCTCCCCTCAATGTGAGCTCTGCTGGCCCTGATAATAATGTTTCAGCTCTGTAATAGCCTTCAAGAGCCTCACATTTACAACCACACTCTCCCTACTGTAATAATTCCTTCTTTCTGTTATTATAGATCTCTTAACATTCTAATAAATTCACTGTCTCTGTTGGACTCTTTTGGTAAAATAACCTTTCGTGTTGCATTTCCCTAGCTTGGCAGTGATATCTGCCTGGCTGTCGCAGTAGCCTCTTCCCAAGCTTCCCTAATAACCTTTCCTTGACTGTTGTGGTTCCTCGGGGATGTAACAGCTGTTTCTGTGCTTTTATTTCACATACCAGAGAAGATGCCTTCCCCAGGCAGTTGCATCTCTCTAGGGATACAGGGAGTTTTCCTGTCTTGCAGGCAAGCAGCCCAAAGGGACCTTCCTCATTAAGGGCTACAGTGTCCGGATGGCCCCCCACCTACGAAGAGACTCCAAGAAAGAAGCCTGCTTTGAACTGACCTCCCAGGATAGGCGCAGCTATGAGGTAGGATGATCCGAGGAGCCGGTGCTCCTCCTTAGAGCTGCGGTTTCCTTCCCTGTTTGCTATGCTGGGTTCTATTCTCTCTTTTCAGCAGCTAAGACCCTCTTTCTTGCCCTGTCCTCACCTTTGCTATGTCACAGCCTCCCTTCCCTTCTGTTGCCACACTCATCCTAGACAGTGACTTCACTTGGCTTCTCTCTCTTCATCCCTCCCCTTCCCTGTGTCACCCTATAGGTGAGATTTCCTGTTCACCGCAGCAGTGCACCATCAAAACCCTTACTCACCGTCTCTAGTTTCACGGCTGTAATTCCCATGCTTATTTTTCAACTGATTATCCCTACTTTCTTCCATGAAAGTAGGAAAAAGGAAAATCTAACTCTATCCTAAGAAGTTATTTGTTGTATCATATTCATCTTGCTATCCAAAATGGCCTTCCTATATTTGGATGCATTGCATATCTCTGAAAGTAGTTTTAAGACATTGGTGACAGTGGTCACTGAGTAGTAATAATGATAACTAAGAGGCTAGAGGACCTTGTCAGAGCAAGAACTCATTCCTTGCTGTGTTCATTTGTATATATTTTGAATCTTTACCTCGTGCATTTATTACCCATTATAAAATAAATTGAAATAATAAAAATGTAAGACTGTAGAGATATATGGATTTTTTTCACTAAAAATATTTTTATATGTGTGTATATTGTTTCCTACTTGATAATTTTATTTTACCACAGTTCTGTTAAAGCAATGTTAGCAAAGCTCTAGCTAACTTATGAAAAAGAAAAAGCATGCTAAAAGTAAATTACCAATTTAAGTAACCCTTTGACTCCTCAGATTTTTCTCAGCTTTCAACGTTTTTATATTTATACAGTATATTAACCCTTATTTGATTATGTGACCTAGGTCTGCATTATGTAATTTCTAGAATTTTTTAAAAACTTAAACTAAAGCTTTTCTATGGAGTTCTTTATAAACATTATATAACACAGACTTATGCATTGCATATGTTTCTGAGTTGTTTTTATTATTAAATTCTGATGATACTGTATCTGATAAAAGTTGATATGAAAATTCTAAGCCAATATTCCTAGAAAGTTTTTTATTGAAGTGTGATTTGGGGCCAAGGTTGTGGCTCAGTGGTATAGCACTTGCCTAGCATGTGTGAGGCACTGGGTTCAATTCACAGCACCACAAATAAATAAAAATAAAATAAAGGCCCATTGACAACTAAAAAAAAATTTTGAAAAAACAAAAAGTAAATGTGCTTTTAAGGAATTAAGAATGATAGGGTCTATTAACATAAGCATCACACAGGAACCTAGGTTTCTTATACAACATATATCTTTATGTTATTCTAATGACCAGATAATTAAAATGTTTTTCAGAAACAGTTATTTCAAGTTGATTCTTTTTTTTTTTTTTTTTAATCATGAAGGGTTGATGCTTGACCAACCTGTTTTATTAATCAAAATGTAGTTTGTTTACTTCTTTTCTTTGGTCCATTGAATCCAGATCATTACTATGGTCTGTGGATTCTATCCTCTACAGTGGCCTTTAAATCTTTACCTTTCTTATTCTCACAGCCCTCACGATAGTTAAGTCCCTCTTGTTTCACCTAGAGGACCAATTCAACAGCCTTCTAGTTGATCTTCTGTCTCCAGAGTTGTCTATTCTAATCCCTCCTACCCAAACTATTGAAAGAGTCACCCTCTCCCTCTGCTAGAATTGGTAGTAGCTTCCTGTTGCCTACATTTCTGAATTTCTGTCACTCAGAGCCCTTCTACCAACTCTTCTCTGACCCTCAACTTCCATCTGTTATTATTCTCCAGGCAAGCTGGTCATCTTCCTGCCTTCCCCACACATGATGTTCTCATTCTTGTAATCTTGCCCATAATTATCCCTACCTGAAATGAACAGCTCCCTCCACCAGTTTCCACCAACGCTTTTTAAAAATCCAACCAGCCTGGTGGTGGTGCACACCTGTAATCTCAGAAATTCCAGAGACTGAGGGAGAAGATCACAAGTTTGAGGCCAGCCTCAGCAACTTAGCGAACTTAGTGAGACCCTGTCTCAAAATAAAAAATTAAAAAGACCTGTGGATGTAGCTCAGTGATAGAGTGCCCCTGGGTTAAATCTCCAGTGTCATAAAAATATATATAAATAAATATTGTTTTTAAATCCAGTCAAAACAGTTTTGCTTCAGCAAGCCTCCCTAATCTACTCCTGGCAACAATAAATGCTCCCTGTCTACTCACAACAACCAGTTGTGGGTTGCAGGTGTAGCTCAGTGGTAGAGCACTTGCCTAGCTCGCTCAAGGACTGGGTTCTGTCCCCAGCACTGAAAAGGGGAAAAAAAAAGTTCCATTATTATCAAATGAATCTGCTTTGTGATGTTTTCATCTCGTGTACATATTGCTTTGCTTTCCCCCGCCCCTGGTAAATTTTTCTCAAATAAATGCCACATGAAGGAATAGATAATAGACATAGACATAAATATCTGGACTTAAAGAGCTCTAATATCTGGGTATGCAAAATTGCTGATGGAAAAAAAAATGGTTTGAATTTAATATGTGGTCTTCTTTCTAAATATTAAGCTAAAGCAGAGAATCCTGAGCTTTAAAGTTGACAAAAACTCACAGATAACTTCCCCTGGGCTTCCTTATCAAGATGCATGGAAATTTTAGTGAAGGTGATAAATTAATTTGCAATTTTTTTTCTGTAGTTTACAGCTACTAGTCCAGCTGAAGCCAGAGACTGGGTGGATCAAATAAGTTTCTTATTAAAGGGTAAGTGTTACTGTTTTGAAATACATAATATTTGGATCTGCAGTTGAAGTACTGTTCCATAAGTATCAGCTAGAGGTTTCCATGTGTATTTTTTCCTGCTTTCTCATCTCTACCCTCCCCACCATATGCCCTCATTTTAACAAAAACTACTGTGTATGATTCAGAAAGTAAGGAAATCATCAACCTGGAGATGAACTCTAATGTCATAGCTCGTCACCTGACATACAGGCAAGCCTTTACTACTCATAATCACTGAAAATGGGATCCTGAAAACCAGCTCAGCCCAATTCACTGCCTCCTAAAACCCCTTTCATTCTGGAAAGAAAATTCATAATATCCAACTTAGAGCCATTTTAATTGCAAACAAGGTCCAAAATCATCTTCTTTTTCAGTCTTACTAGGAAGTAGAAATCTAAATTAATATAGATGGTCATCAGAGACTTTGGACATTACAAACAAATTGCTATTTCCCAAGCCACAATAAAATGTTCCTTGCTTTGAGATGGGACAAGTCCTGCCTGAAGATATTAAATGACTGCTCTTAGAGTACCCTCTGCTGGCCAGCCTGCAGGCATAGCAGTAACAGTGGCCCAAGAAGCCTTTCCTGGGAGTGGCAATGTGGCAGATAGAAGCAGTCCACCTTGAGTGAATCACTTGGCATCAGGTAACCCTCAGGTACCCTCATGGCAGGACCCTATCTTACAGAAAGACAGGAACACCAACTTCGTACTTGGCCCAAGACACAGGGAAAAGCACGTCAACCTGAAAACTCCAAACTTTCTCTTCACAGATTTTATTCTAGTGCAAGATTTTATTGTGGATAAGAAGGAGCAAGCACCCGAGCTTTAATTACAAGAATTGCCTGTTTTACTCAGTTATGCCTTTGCTATCACAAAAACAAAGTATTGCATCCACCAGCAGCGTCACGTATAATAGACTGGAACTAGGCAAACATGAACATTGATGGCGAGACTACAGGGTACACTCTCATCTAGGTGCCTTGGATTTATGCGTGTAATATACCCCTAAGTGTGTAAACCTCAATAAAACTCAAAGCAGCTTTATTGAGCTGTACCCTGTGGTACTTTCAGAATCCCACATTGAAGAAATTATTCATTCCATTTTATTTTAAAACAAACAAAATAATAACATATGGTTTAAGCCACAAATGTGTCTTTGATCCTTTTTCTCATATGAAGTGGCACCAGAATTCAGATGAAAATTGTTGCAAAACCTTTATTAAAAGCCTAATCAAGCCAAACAGTTTTATTGTGTTTTGAAATGAACATCGGATGTTTCTCCATCTTTCCCTTCCCCAGGGTCTGCTGACTATACTCGCCCATTCTGTCGGGGCCCCTCAGCAGGGTTTCAGAGAGCAGAGACTCTGTGCTACTCAGAGAATGAGCCTTCCCAGTTCCCCATCAAAATAAAAAACAATCTCCCTCCCCTGCTCTGGTGCTCCCCAGTGCTGTAATGGTCCAACATTCTCTATGCAGTGACCCACTTAAGGTCAGCCAGACTGTACAGTTGCCAGAGGACATGGTAACTGCACTGTGCAGCCATTCCATTTGGTCTCGGATTACTGTTATTTTTCACCATACCCCATTTGGTTTCCTCTTCCACTTTTGCCCATTTTTTTTTCTCTCTCTCACTCTCTGGAAACAAACTTGTCTGAAATTCTGCGATGAGATCATTGGGGAGATGGGCTTCCGACAGCTCGGACACCCTACAGAAGAAGCCACCATGGAGGCCCTGGCTCTGTGTGCCCTGGAGAACTGCAGGCCATCACTCACCCGTCCAGTTTTCTAGTTGATGAGCAGTGCGTGTCATGCTGGCATTTCCTCTTCTGTCCTATTTCCTTCCCTTCACCTTGTGTTCCCATTCACACACCCATACTATTCAGGGCTGCTTCATCCTGATCAAGTTTTATTGCAAGGAAGGATTTATGTTGATGGTTTAAACCTGATGCAGTGCTGGTCTGGCCTTTTCTGTAGATTTCCTGCCACCAAGGCCCACATTAGAAATAACAGCACTTAACCTAGTGTTTCATTTTATTTTGACATGTTTTATTCTCTTCCCCCCTCCTCCTTCCTCTTTCCTTCCCTGCCTTCTCACTCCTTTCTTTTGCTCCCTACCTTGATTCATTCCCATCTTTGCCCTGGCAGATCTGAGCTCTTTAACCATCCCATGTGAAGAGGAGGAAGAGGAAGGAGAAGAGGAGGAGGAGATGTATGATGATATTGATGGTTTTGACTCTCCAAATTCTGGTTCCCAGTGCAGACCCATTCTCTTGCCTGGGAGTGTGGGGATAAAAGATCCTACAGAGGAGAAAGAAGAGGATATTTATGAAGTCTTACCAGGTGAGAAATTTCATCTTCTAATTATATCCCCCTCGTTTCAGAAATTCAACCTGGTGGAAGAACATGACTTTGGAAACTCCTAAGGAAGCCAGATCTAAACTTCATCCTCTGAAGGAGAGAATGTAGGGAAACATGATTCTCAAGCTCTTATAGAGCCTCTGCCTTACTCTGGGAGCAAGATGAGTTTGATCAAGGATTGTCTCATCTGTGCCACATGAAGTCCTCTATCATATATGTCAACCAAGTTCAAGGGTTCAAGAATACCCATATTGGTGTTCATTGCTTACCATGAGTTTGGGGGTCAGCCATCAAAAATCCTCTAGTTTCAACATCTTTTCTGTGGAATTGTGAGGGTGACAGAAAGTTGCCTCCAAAATATGAAGGATTTTGAAATCTGAAATATATAAATGCTAACCACCCTTTTGTGTGATCCAGTAAAACCCCACCAGCACAACTCATTATTACCTAGAAACAAATCACAGCTCTCAAGAATAAGCCTGACATGTATCTCCTCTGCCCACCATGCAGCAGCTCTAAGCTGTTGATCACTTTCTGTCCAAAGGCAGGATAAGTGGCACCTCAGAAAATGTAGAGTCATCATTGCTTCCACAGAGCCACTTCTGGTCGGGATCGGCAGCTGGCGAACAGTGCAGAGCACAGTGGGGGTCAGACTGTGGAAAAAACAAAGTCTGAGCCTTTTAATTGTGAGGTACTTAGACCACAGGAACGCTGAATCTTCAAGTCCATTCAGAAAGAGCATGCCTGTGGAAATTTGCCAGGAGTTCAGTGCTCTGCTAAGAAATTCAAGTTAAGCCTAAATTTATAGCAATTTAAACCTCCATCTCAAATGAACCTAGGAACTAAGGTAAATCTAACACTCAGGCCCCTGAAGACAGGGGTAGTTGCTAAAAGCATCATCAGTAGGCAACATATTTCAAGGCTTCCTCAGAAGAGGGTCCAACCCCCTTAACTCTGCATTCTGCCTTCATCTCTTCCCTAGGAGAGAAGCCATGTCATTGTCCCCTGCATCAAGGAGCAGGGCTGTGGCTACACATCCCCACCAAGGAGAGCCTGCTTCTTCTCCTACTACTTCCAACCTCTGCCAGTCCCCACTTCCCCAGCCTTTTTTTGTTGTGTTTTATTATGCAAATGATATCTTGGTTGAGGTCGAGCCATTTCTTGTGTCTGAAGTTAAAAAAAAAATGATAATTTCCTCAGCAAGTCATCGTCGTTAATGAAGTTTTACAAAAACAGATACAACCAAAGGAAAATAAAATTTCACAGGTGATAAATTTTTCCAATTTCCCTGGCAGAATTCGATAGGATTGTTAAATTAAGAGTGAAGGTGTCTGTTAGAAAGCAACGAGCAGTGATGGGTAATTTTATAGAGTGGAAAATTGAATCAAATTGCTACATTAAAACACAGCTCCTCTGAGAATCTTCCCTTTCACAGCCTGCTCCATTGCAACAGCAGGGTGCAGAAATGGATCTAATTCACAACACTCCCTAAAAGGAGATGCACTCCCCAACTTGGCCAGGATCTTCCTAGTGAGCTCACATTCTGCTCACTCCTGCCCAGGCTCAGGAAAAGTCCAGGTGACACTCCACTTTGGGTTACAGCTGTGGAAGAGTGCTCTGGGAAAACCTCCCTGAACCACTCAGCCTTCTGGGATACAATGGAAGGGCCTTTTATGCACCATGGATAGTTCTCAAAGGAGCCAGGGGAGAGGCTCAGAGATGCAGAACTAAGAGAGCAAAGGGAAAGAGGCCTCAGAAAATAAGATGAATTTGGGCTCAACCCCCACTTACCCCAGGTGGGGGCAATGAATGTATAACTGTCTTCTTAGCAGCCATGATTCTCCTGCCTCCTAAACTCTTACCCTCAGTCACTGTGGCACTGCCAAGTTATGGGGCATTACTCCAAAATTCTCACCAATTGAGTATTGGAGTGGACCCAAGGGCATGGAGACTAGTCTACATCTCAAACCACTAACCCTGAGTCCACAACTGCTGTCCATTAGGAGTGAGGAAAGCCACAAAGCTTTCGCCTGGGTCTCTTTCTGTAGGTTAGCAAAACAGCAATTAACTTGCATATGTTTCCAAAGGACAATGTGTACAGCCAACGGTTTCTTTCCAAAAAGCCTCTATCCATCAGAGTCCTGAAAGACAGCATTGAAGGTGAGATATGTGGACATTTAATTATGATATGTATATTGCAGCCACACAATCCCATCACCCAGCTTCCTTTCCACTCCACTCTTGTTGCTTCGGAAATGGATTTGAGTTTTGCATGTGCCACATCACTAGTCCTGGAGGAATTGAGAGGGAAGGTGAGGGGCCTAGCAGTGTCTCCCCTCTGCCACCATCTCATAAGACCACCTATAGAGCAGAGGCATATGAGAGACAGCACGGCACTGCAGGTGCAAAGCTGGCTGTATGTCACCATGGATCTGTGCTGCTGCCTGTTCTCTGTGAGGCCTCAGGCAAGTTACCTGCCCTCACTAATTGTCACCCTTGTAAAATGGGGAAAACAATAGCTGCTATCCTAGAGGGATATGGTGAAAAAGTCTAGAACTGACATATGTAAAGCCCTCAGCATAGAGTCCTGGCATGCGGGAGTCCTCAGTAAATGCTGGCTACTATTAACCTGGTGGCATTTAAAACTGATAAGAACAGATACTACACTTGATCTTGGCCAAAAGGCTGAAAAGCGATCTGGTGGTATTTAAAGAAGGTTTATGGCTTGAAAAGCTGGGGGATGGCTAGGTCCCCGCCCTCACCAAGCAGACTTGAGACAGTCCAGTTGGGCATTTGCAGCTATGTGTATGAAGCAGGTGAAATTGAAAATCCCGAGCAGATGGAATGTGGAGCGCACCTTCTGCTCAGGCCCATTTTTACTGCGAGGCCAGGTGCTGGGTGGAGGGACAGTGGACGGTAAAGTCGGATTGTGCTAACATTGCATACCCATCAATAGTCAAATGACTTGGGCCTCTCATTCAGTTCATTATAACAGGTAAATGTGCTTTGTGAAGGATATTTAGCATTGGTGATTCTGCTAATTCTCTTCTTTGGAATGGGACCTACAAAAGCCCTCCCTGTCCTTTTTTTTTTTTTCTTTGTGGTGCTAGGGAATGAACTCAGGGCCTCATATATGCCAGGCAAGTGCTTTCCCACTGAACCACATCCCCAGCCCCTTGAGCCTTCACTGTGTCTATGGGGAAAGCCATGTAAGTGAGATCCTTCCAGAGTGTCATTGATATGGTCTTCCTAGTGGAGAGAAAAGAGTACAGAACATATATCAAGTCAATAAAAATAAAATTTTTTCCTGGTCAAAATAATGTATGGGTTATCAAATTAAATGCACTATATCACATTAATCATGAAATAATTAGCATTTGCTACATGGCTAGCATTCTTTTCCCCAAGAGGGAAAACCAGAGCACTCAAGGTTTTCAGCCAGACCACAAAAATGTTAATCCTGGAAAATACTGTTTCAAGGTTGGTATTCACTGGGATTGCTGAACATCCATGTTGAGCATATGGGGGCCTTTCATTTTCAGGATCTCATTTGTAGTAGATTAAACTTCAGGGAGCTACCTCAAAGAAATGCTAAAGCCATACACAGAAAATTGGAAACTTTCTGAGCCCTTTCTTATATCCCCTGAAGTTATTTTGCTGGCCAATACAGGCCCATTTCCCTGATTCCAGATTCCATCAAAGGACAGCTTTTATCAAGTTTCTTTTCTGGGGTCTCAAGACTGGAAGCCAAGAAAGTACCTGAAGGAAGAGCTGTAACTGGGGCCTTGTTGCGGCTACAAAAGCAACTGAATCAAGCTGTGTTCTCTAGAGAGATAAGAGCAAACAGAAAGGAAAACAAAGAGCCCTCCCTGAGAATTTCTATGCACATTCTGAAGCTGCCCGCAGCGCCCCAGGGGGTTATTATAGACCCAGAAACCAGAGTGCTTTATAATAAAGCATATAACTGGTTTTTTTTTAATTAGAGTCAAATGGAAACAAACATTCTGTGGAATTATTTTTCCCCTTGTACAGTTGTCCAGACCCATAGGAAGGAGGAATGGTGATAGTCAGAGAGCCCAAGAAAGAAAAAAGACAAAAGTTCATGAAGAGTGGACACTGTCACCAGCCTCCTTCAAGACTTCTGGCTGTTTATCTCAATGCCCTGCACACCAAGCCCCAACCACAAGGGCTGATAGGCCAGGGCCAGCTGGAACCATGCTGTTCCTTTTACCTAGACTGCCCAGGCCCATTTCAACCTATAAAACCCTACACGTTCTGCTCAAATGGATCCTGCTCAGTGATACCCTCCCAGATACTCAACTGACATTAAGCTTTTAGTTCTTATTACAGTGATTTGTATTCATGTCTTTATCCCCAGTTAATAGGTGCTCAGTTATTATTTGTGAAATTAAATTCAGTCCATTCCAAGTGTTGCCGTGAGCACAGATTGAGTTTAATATCTTATACATCAGGACCACACTGGGCTGGGGATGTGGCTCAATGGTAGAGCCAAGCAGGCATAAGGCCCTGAGTTCAATCCCTAGCACCCAAACCACATGTGCGCGCGCACACACACACAACCATTCCACAGAGATAGGATGCAAGTATTTTGAGATAACAGTTCAGATTACCTAATACACCACAGAGAATCACATGTGTTATTAGCCTCTTGATTTTTTTTTTTTTTTTTTTTTTTTTTTTTTTTCAGTTGGGAGGCGGTAGTGGCAAAGAGTTGTTTTGTGTTTTGTTTTGTTTTGAAGAACTGGGGATTGAACCCAGGAGCACTCTACCACTAAGCTACATCCCCAATCCTTTTTATTTTTTTTTTTTTTGTTGTTTTGAGACAGGGTCTCATTAAATAGCTCAAGCTGGGGGCTGGGGATTTGGCTCAAGTGGTATCACGCTGGCCTGGCATGAGCGAGGCGCTGGGTTCGATCCTCAGCACCACATAAAAATAAATAAAGATATTGTGTCCACCTAGAACAAAAAAATAAATATTAAAAAAGAAAAGTAGTTCAAGCAAGTCTCGCACCTCACAACTCTCCTGCCTTGCCTCCCGAGTTACTGGAATTAGAGGCATACAACACCTCCCCCAGTTTTCTTGTTTTTCCTACATTATCCGAAGAGATGCAACAGCGCCCATGAGTAACAATGACTTGTGCACATCATGAAGTGATTTGTAACCACTTTTCTGCTTTTCCCCTTTGCACTTGCAGTCTCTCTGTATTTCTGTTGCATCTGTCACCAGAGCACCTTGACATCTGGTTGCACATTGGTACAATTGCCATTTTTTGAGCTTTTGTCACTTTGCTTGGTTGGGGAGAGATGATTTCCCCTCTTTCTGAGCTAGTCCTTTTTAAATGTTATTCTTTCTGATATTGTGTTAGCTGATGTCAGAGGGGTATCAGAGGAGCACTTCAGAAAGGAGCCAGGTGTCGTGAGAAGCTGGCTCTTCTCTGTCCCTCCTAGGTGGATTCCGTGTCCTGTTCTTCTCAGCCTCTCATTAGTGTCCCTGACATAGTGCCAAGAATGTTGATTGAAATCGACTCTCCGGATACTGATGCTCATTTGCGATGCCCCATGGTTCTCTTACATGTTCACACAGTTAACAGAATCTTCTTCAACTGTTTTCCCAATTGAGATGAGATATTTGGGAATCAAGTAGAGCATTTAATGTAATAAGTGGGCAGTAATCTTCAGAGGTTAATTTGTTTAAAACCTATGTAAGGTTGGGGTCCCATATGCCCTGTTAGAAGCAAGGACCATTATAATCTATTACTGTTTAAAGTTGAGCTAGCACATAAATTTTAATTCTCTCTTAAATGAAGATATATTTCAGTAGATGTAATGCTAAAATGCCTAATAATATTCTTATCAAGAAGTTCAATGAGCTCTTTAGCCTAAAAAATATTTTTCAAAATAGTCTTTTAAAATAAAGCCTCACATGACAGATGAACAAAAGTGAGAAATTTAGCCACCTAATTCACCCCCATTTTCAAGCAGAAAGACTTGGGGGGTTTTTTGTTTTGTTTTGTTTCGTTTTTTCCTGTTGCCATATAATCCGTTGTCTTGACGTTGGAGCTTGAGAGATACCAGTTTGGGTTCACAGAAGGGTCCTAGATAAATGGCACACCTCTATGTACGGTACCCTCTGAAGCCAAGAAGGTGTTGAGGGGTGTGCTTTCCACAACCAGCTGTGGAAGGTGCTTTCCTTCACTACACCACAGTGCCCCATCCTCAGTCTTCCAAAGACCCCAGAGGTACAGCTGCTGTTCCATCAACTGCAAGGTTTCTTTACTTGGGCCCACTTTCAGCCACCCGGGAAGGACAATGCTACATAGAACAGATGTGGGGACTGGAGCTTCCCCCTGCACATCCATCACTGTGGAGCCTAGTAATGGTGGTGAATGATATATAAGCTCCTGGCCAGCTTTCTTTCTAGGTGACTCCAAAGGTGCAGTGGAAATCAGAGTATCTGATCTGGAATTGAACTTCACAGAATAGATTCTATTTTTTTCCCTTTTTTTTTTTTTTGTATCATGACTAGATTAAGTGCTGTTGCCTGAAAGGATAAAGGAATCGAGTTTTACGTTTCATTTTTATCATTGCAAATACATTTACATTCTCCTTTTTTACAAATGCAAAGAGCAGGCAAGCCACTTTCAATAATTTATTTTAAAATCAATGCTAATGAGGTTATGTCTCGTCAGTGGCCGAGTTTTACAATAAAGTCTGATTTATTTAGAAAAGATCTTTGGTGTAGCTTCCCATCTAATGGTGGTGGGAAGGAGGTGGAGTAGCAGGCATGGTGACCCTCCAACTTCGGATCCAATTTGTAATTCACAGCGGAGATCTGACCCAATTTACATTGATTAGAATTGGGAGGAAGAGACAGCTGCATGCAGACAGCAGAGGTAGAATAAACCCTCTCTGCAAAAGTACCTAAGCACAGCAAATTATTGGTCTTTGTGATTGAGTTGTTTGATATCAGCAAAAGAGCTGCTCTCTGTCCAAATTATTGGGTGTCTCTAAAATAGGAGGTACTAACTCTTGCTCTAATGTCCTTACTCCGGTAAAATTAGCCCTGTGTCAAAAACGGAAAGCATCGTACCAGAGGAAGGAAGGAAGTGGACAAAGTAATGAGAAGACAATGTGCAAAGAATGATGTTTAATGTGATTTATTTCAGCGTGATCTGTTTCCTGTATTTGATTTTGCTCTTCCATTATCTCACATCTTTGTTCCTCCGGGAAGGGCTGGGGAGTACTACAGGTGGAAAGGGGAAAATCCATGGTGCTGGACCCAAAAGAATTTTTTAATCAAAGTGCTCCTTTCCCCATAGCATCCTCCAGGGCCAGGGCGTGTGTGTGTGTGTGTGTGTGTGTGTAAATCTTGGTACCAGGTGACTTACTTCCCCAGAGAATCAATCTCTTTATTTTTGTGAGTCACAATATTATTTTTCACATTAAGTCAGTTATTTTTAATATTCTAACATATTTTTAGGCTGTTTCTTCTCACCTTTGAACTTATAATCTCTCCCCCAACCAGTCTGACATACCAGAACTCTAAACCTCACATTTAAAAAATAAATAAAAGGGAATGTCCTCAGGACGTCCCCTCAAAGTTTCCATTTAGTGGCGTAACTGTGGAGAAGCAAGAGAAGCAAGTGCCAGAAGACCTAGAAAGAGAAAGGAAGGGGGATGCAGCTAGGAGAACCTAGCTGTTCAGCCTTCCAACCACAGCTTACCATGCCCTTGCTATGGTTATGTACATGCATGCGCACCCGCAAGGACCGGGAGTGGGGGATTGGGGGATAAAAGAACAGCAAGTGCATTTTTGTTTATTTTGCACCACCTATAAAGTAACTAAATGTAATTCTGGCATGTATACTTTCTTTATAAAGGCCCAGTTCCTATTTTATCAAGTAATATGAAGCCTGAGAAGAAACAGGTTAATGAGGGTTAGAAACTCAGGCCAATCATGTTGTGACTTTGGCCATATAAACACTTGACTGGAGTTAGACACTATCATTGACTTAGAATCCATTGGGAATCTACAGAAACTAATTAAAAGACCATTCCAACTGCCCTCAGGAGCTTATACTCTAATGAATAAGGCAGGCTGAATAAAAATTGTAAAAAATAACTACAAGCCCCAAGTACTAGAAACATAAAATTATGTACATGACCAGCCTCCACTACAGCTGAACAAACATAGATACATTAAGAACTAATTAATCACAAAGGGTTTAAACACCCACTTCCAAACTCTCTCTCTTTCTCTCTCTCCCTCTCACACACACACAAACACACACAGAGATGCACACACAGACACACACACACACACACCCCACTTCCTAACTCTGGAGGGCCTAAAACCAAGCCAGATGCTTGCATGGAGATAATAAATATGGAAGAGAATTCCAGAAAGAAAGGAGAAATGGAGTTTGAGGGGAAAGGATTAGATTCTAGTAGTAGTAGTCAATAACCCCCAGGATTATAGACAGCACAAGGGCAGGGACCCCAACAGTCTCATCTGTTGCTTGCCCCCAGTTCCTAATCCAGCACCTTGCACATAGTAAACACTTCAAAATGTTTGTGAAGAATTGGAAGGATAGGGAAAGAGGACAGGGCCTGTTTGAAGGTGAGAGAGCTTTTTCAAAAGAAAAAGAGAACATAGTAATTAAACTTTCCTTAAACAAGAAAGCATGATGGACTCAGAGAAATGCAACCCCCTCAGTATAAAGAGCATGAGACTGTGCCCTACTGACCACTAATGCTGATCATTTGTCCCCTCAGATGAAGAGCACGATCTGGAAGAGGATGAACGTGGCACTCGGCAAAAAGGAGGTATAAGGGCACATAGATGCACAGCGTGGGGAGGGATGTTCCAGCCTGGACTCACTAATGAATAGGGTACTGAATAGAGTATATGACCCCAGAAGCCCCAAATAAAATGATCAGACAGGGATATACCTTAAGTTGAAAAACAGCCACCCATTCACTTTAATTAATGTTCCCAGAAGCACTAAGATTTATCCGAGACAGGGTGGGAAGCCAAAGCAGATATTTATTTTTTCCTATCAGTATTTCTTAAATCAGTACAGTGAAAATAGAATTGCCTCATCTCTAAGAGATCACGGGATTGAGAATGGAAAGAATGGAAATGTCTCTTCTCTGAGAGGCCCAGAGATTGCAAGTTCAGAGGGGAATGGAAATGTGTCAGATCTGAAAAGTGAACATGGGGTGAAGGATAGAATTGCCTGGTGAGGCTGACTTCTGATGGCCTGGTTTGATTCCAGGCACTTTTGGAAATGAATATGTAACAGGTTTGTTGAATACAAAATTACATCTTATTCATCCCAGACTGTTAACCATGCTTCAGGCTGTTAGTGAGCCCATCCTTCCTAAGGTCAGGTGCCCCTGGAAGCCTCTCTAAGTGGACCAAGGACCTATTCCTTCATTGTCAGTAAAGGAATGCTACATGTTGCCAGGGCCACCTCAAGGACATTCGTTCCATCAGCAGAGCCTGAATCGGGACTGATTTATATACTAGCTGATTTTTTTCTTACAGTCTAGGAAAAATTTAAGCTTCAGAGTTCTTTCTTTTTCCCTCCCTGCTCCCTCTCCATTTCTCTGATCTTACCTTTTTCCAATTCTCCTCTTTTCTCCTTCCCTTCTGCCTCTTCTTCCCTTTCTTATCCATCAGGAAAGCCCCCTTTTTCATTTTCTATAGGAAGTGAATCTTTAAAAGGATGTGGGTGAAGCTGGCACCTACCTGCAATCGCAGCTACTCTGGAGGCTGAGACAGGAGGATCTCAAGTTCAAGCCCAGCCTTAGCAAGTTAGCAAGACCCTGTCTCAAAATAATAATAAAAAAAAAAGGGCAGGAGATGTAGCTTGTGATAATTGACACATGAAATTAAACCCGTTCACTGTTTTCTACTTGCTGTACAGAATTCCAACAGAAAATCTGTTCTGACCAACCCATGTCCCATATAAGTCTTTTCTCAACCAACTTCCATCACCAAAAGTGGAAAAGAAACACTCAGTATGGACCACTTGGGCAGAATAACTGTAAACTTCCTATGGTCAGCATTATATTAAACTCCATCAGGAACCAACAGTCTTCTGGCAAAATCTAAAATTCAATTTCAGACTCCTCCATCATCTCATTTCCTTCTTCTTCTTTTTGTAAATATTTTTTTAATTGGAGACAGACACAATACCTTTATTTTATTTATTTTATTTTTATATGGTGCTGAGGATCGAACCCAGTGCCTCATACATGTGAGGCAAGTGCTCTGCCACTGAGCCACAATTCCAGCCCTCATTTCCTTCTTACACCTGGCTCTCTCTAAGGCTCTATCTGGAAGGTGAAAGGAAGATTTATTTCTTAATTGTTCCAACAGGTATAATTCAAGTAGATTTAAAAAAAAAAAAGAAGAAGAAGACCCTTTTGTTCCTCATGCTTTCTGCCTCCAATAGGTGTTGTTAAAGTATAGCAAGTTCTAAATATGTTTCTATGGTTTACGCTTCCCACCAGTTATAATGATTAGTGACTTAGTGATTAAAAAACAAGAGGACTTTTCGCTCTCTCTGCAGAATCTGAGGCAGGAATTTTTATTATTTGTGTTTACTTATTTATTTATTGAATTTATAGAGTGCCTTTTCTCCAAAGGAGCTATAGAAACAGAGCAACAAATATGTAACATCCAGATGTCATCCCTGAGTTTTATAACAATAAGACAGAGAGGTCTGGGAGAAAAGGCAGGCAGCCTCCACCAAGGCATTTAAAAGGCAGAGAGAGCTCTGGGCCAGTCTGAATTCTTAAGTCGTACACATGCTACATAAGTTTTCTTCATTTAGTTTTTCTCAGGTGTTATTTACCTTTTGGAGAGGGATAAAAACATTTTAAGCAAATTGGCCTGCCCCTTCTTCCTTTTCACCTAAAAGAAACTATGACTAGCAGGATTATCTTTAAAATCCAAGTACTTTTCTCTGCCATCCCACGGATCCTGTTCCTAGGATGCTATGCTTTTTGCTGATGGAACTGCTAACATTTCAAGGCCTAGATCTTATCAGAGTGGGGAGGAGGGAAGGAATTCAGTTTATCCTTATTGAGTGTTAATGACCCTGTAAGATGCAATTTCTTTTATTTTATTCTGTTACCTAGAAAATCTATCACAGCCTTGTAGTATTGATTGTTCAATCTATAAAGAGCTCGGTTTACAGCATGACTGTTAGTAACAGGGTTATTTTAATGAGTGACTCTTCAACACCTCAGATTTTCAGTAAATTCCAGCCCATCAGCCAAACAGTGTAACACGAAGGATCTGGGTGATGAGAGCTTATCTCCCTTCCTTATCATGAAGAGGTGATATCAAGGTAACCAGAAATAAAACTCACTCCATGCTGTTTGTACCATGTCAACTAAAAAGCAGCTATGGAAATCATCCTTAGATACCTCAAGTCCCTGACCAAGGTATCATTTTTCCTCTGAAATTATGGACAACCTGAAGACCACTATTATGGTCTTCTAAGCATTCAGTAATTTCAGGAAGGCAGAAAATGGTTGCCTATAAGAATTTTATCTGGGAGGCCCTCTGAGGACCCACTTATACATTCACCTGTGGAGAATTGCTGCCCAAAGAAACAAAGATGCAGGCCCTTGCAGGTCTTACCTTTAAGATCATTTTGTTGTTGTTGTTGATTTTTTTTCTTTTTTGGTAATTGAGTTGAACTCAGGGGCACTTAATCACTGAGCCACATCTCCAGCCCTTTTTTGTATTTTATTTAGAGACAGAGTCTCACTGAGTTGCTTAAGGCCTCACTAAGTTGCTGAGGCTGACTTTGAACTCGCAATCCTCCTGCCTCAGCCTCCTGAGCCACTTGGATGACAAGTGTGCGCCACTGCACCTAGCCTGAAATCCATTTTTTAACACCAACCATGAATTGAGCTTCAACCAGCTAAAATTTTGACCCCGTAAAAGGAGTATATGAGGAGAAAAATCAAGGATCTGTGAGCGTTCCTCACTTCCAAAGAGAAACTTCCTGCTCTGGTGCCATAGTCAATGGAGATTTCATACCTTCCTTCTAAAATAGTTAATAAAATATCAGAGTCTGTGGGAATGAACAGAACAAGATGGTCTTTCTGGCCTGGGCTGGAGAACATTTCCAATAGCTTCAGTGAATCTCTGCTTTGGCTTTTTTTGTCCAAGCCTCATTGTGCCATGCTCTGATAGGATTAGCTTTCATCTTCCTCTCAGTTTTCTCTCTCTTTTCCATAATTTAAATGGTGTACCCAGTGCCAGGTCTCATTGACAAAGTCTTTTACCCCTTAAGAAAATGTATACAACGTGCTGACCTGACTTCAGTCTCTTTTGCCCAGTCACAGCTTGAATTCTGGAGCTACCCAAAACGTTTCCTAAAACAAAAGCTGAACCCTTGAAGGAACACTGCCCAGTTCTGCTATCCCTAAAGAAGGGGAAAGGCAGAGAGGTGTCCAGGCCCTTTGACCCTAGAACTTTGCACATTCTGACGTTTAATTTTCATGGACTCTGTTAACAATAGCACCAATTTGGACTCAGTAACTGAAGAAATGACTATTACTGGTTACAAAGAACTTGGCCTGTAGTGACAAATGCCATGCAATAAATACCTGAAAAAGAGAAAAATAATTCTTTTTCTTTTTTTTTTTTTTTTTTTTTGGGTGGGGGAGTACTAGGGATTGAACCCAGGGTCATATCCCCAGCCCTTTTTATTTATTTGTTTGTTTGTTTAAATTATTAGTCAGGGCCTCACTAAATTGCTTAGGGTCTTGCTAAATTTCTGAGACTGACCTTGAACTTGCATTCCTTCTGCCTCAGTCTCCCAAGCTACTGGGATTACAGGTGTGCATCTCCATGCCCAGCTACAATACTATTTCTTTTTTAACCTGGTCTTCTTCTGATCTTCCAATGACAATTTGTCTGCTTGGAACTTAGCTTCCCTTACATGAGATAAAGAAAACAAGATTCTCCCCCCAACAGACACGCACACTTTTTTTTTTCCTCTAGAGAAAGTCCTTCTCAGCTTTGCTGGCAATTTAAATGCAGTGATCATACCCATTAGCTTCTCTATCATTGTAATTGTTGTTAATTGTTATAACTGTTTTAGTTATTAGTGGTGTCATTATTGCTCTAGGTCCTCTGTCTGTTTTATGCTGAATATATTAGTGCTTTGCTTTTGAATTACCAGGCTTTATTTAGTGCAGAGTTACGTTTTTTGGAGAGACATTGAGAAATGCTGGCATTAAGCTTTATTCTTTTGTTTTTCATTCCAAATGGACAGACTGGAAAAAAAAATAATTAGATGGAATAATGTCCTCAAAATGAGAATGAGGATGTTTTGAATTAATTAAATGGTCAGAATACTGCACCATTTCTGATCTCAGGCTGCTGCCAGAGTAGTATAAACCTAAAGAAACCTAAACACAACCCACAGAGGGGAGCCAAGCTCCTGAGCTCTCAATTCCTTTCACTGCTCTGAAGAAGTCAAAGTGTCTGTGTGCATTCACCTGTTTGTAGGATAATCTGGACAAGGTTAGGGCAAAGCTGAACTAACCCAGCAGGCTTTTGGACCTTCAAGCCCTTTTTGAGGGCAGGCTTCAGGAATGAATCCCGCCTCAACCTCACCTCTTCCCCTTTCAAGGTCATCAAGTAACACCCCCTAGGTTGGGTTTTCGAATGCAGCGGAAGACTCAGAGAAGCCTTCCTTGACCCCCTCAGACTATGGCAAATTCCCTATTATACATAGCATTCTCAACTTTTTCACAGATACATTGCAATCATAAATAAATAAATATTTACACTATTTGTCCCATGGTGCCTCCCCTACTAGATGGCAGCCTTGGAAGCAAGAACCATGTGTGGTCAGTATGGAATTCCTGGTGTCCAGCACAGTCCCTGGCATTTTGCAGGTGTCATGCGCATGATTGTTGGATGCTGAGGAATGAATTATGAATTTGCACACATATACACATAAATGTAAATCCCTATATGTGTTGCCTGCCGGGAGGGGTGGCCTGCAATCCCAGAAACACAGGACTTTGAGGCGGGAGGATCACGAGTTCAGAGCCAGCCTCAGCAACTTAGTGAGGTCCTAAACAACTTAGTGAGACCCTGTCTCAAAATAATAAATAAATAGGGCTGGGGTTGTGGCTCAGTGGTTGAACTGCTTGCCTAGCACACATGAGGCACTGGGTTCGAGCCTCAACAGCACATATAAACAAAATAAAGGTTATTGTGTCCACCTACAACTAAAAAATAAATATTTTTTTAAAAAATAATAATAAATAAATAGGGCTGAGGATGTGGCTCAATGGTTAACTCCCCTGGGTTCAATCCCTAGTACCAAAAAAAAAAAAAAAAATCGTGTTAAATAGGGAGTCTGCAATACAGAGTCCAGTCTTGCCCAGATAAAGAATCATTCCTTACTTAACTTTTAAATCCAGAATACTACTAGCCAGTAGGTTCGATATTTTCTCCCTTTAGCCCTTCATTCTGCCTATTTTTCAGAGCTGTCATAAAATGGGTCTAGTTCTGATTATTCTTGGACTAGTCTATACTATCTCTGGATTCTGGAACTCCAAAGTCCTTTTTTATCTTTAGTTTTTCCTGGAAGGCTTCTGTTTTCCTCCTAGCTTCCTGCTTTCCCTGTGATTTATGCTTTCAGCATAAGTCTTTTTTCGGGTGTTTTTCTCAGGTCCCCATATGCCCAATGTCAAGTCACTTTTATATATAAAAACCAAAGGTGGCGGGTGCGGTGGTGCACGCCTGTAATTCCAGGACTTGGGAGGCTGAGGCAGGAGGATCGCAAGTTCAAAACCAGCCTCAGCAAAAGTGAGGCACTGAGCAACTCAGTGAGACCCTGTCTCTGAATAGAGCTGGGGATGTGGCTCAGTGGTTGAGTGCCCCTGAGTTCAATTCCCAGAACCAAAAACAACAAAAAAACTATGGTATCCATCATCTTAGAAGCTGTCCCACATCCAGGCACATTATGGGGAACAGTACCTCAAAGGGACCCTCTGGTAGGCCAGAAAAACCCTTGTTAACTTTGTCAGTCTTCATACCATTCAGAAATATCAAGTTAGGTTTTGAAAATCTATTTTTATAAAGATGATTTTTCTCACCAGGTGTGGTGGCACACACCTGTAATCCCAGCAGTTTAGGAGGCTGAGGCAGGAGGATCACAAGTTCAAAGCCAGCCTCAGCAAATTAGTGAGGCCCTAAGCAACTTAGAAAGATCCTGACTCTAAATGAAATATAAAAAAGGTCTTGGGATGTAGCTCAATAGTGAAGTGCCCCTGGGTTAAATCCCTGGTACCAAAAACAAAAACAAAAAGAAGGATTTTCTCTACCATATATAAATCCATGAAGAATATTGATGTTAATATAACTCTCATTCCTAAATTTAGTCAAAATCTTGGGATGATTTATCAGCTCTGTAACAACTGCAAATGCATAATATATCCTCTAGGAAAACACTTTTCAGCGAGTGATATTTCTCTACTATTTCATGCACTGATATCCCTAAAAATATATGCTTTGTCTTTTCAATAGTTAGCTTTTTTCTCCCAACTTATTTTTCTTCAAAATATATTCTTAACTCCATGGCAGAATGTTTTCACTGTAGTTATTTTGTTTGCTGCCCTCTATTGTCTACTGCATATACAAACAATTTTCTGTGTAAAACAAACAAACAAAAATGCCTAAGTTCCTCTATGATTGACATTTTTACTTCTGTTTGAAATATCCCTTCTCTGTTTTTGTGCACTTTAAGATTCCTACTAAAGTTCTTACCCAGAGACATGTAGGGATTTTGTTTCCCTATGCAATGTTTGAATTGCTCATAAGTTAGGAACAAGCAAAAAAAAGCAAATATAGCTGGGCTCCTGTGCCCCCACCCACCTACTTGCCCTCATCTATTCCCATTCTCAGCAACCAATACCATTATTGCTCATAGAAGGGTCCAAACAAATGAAAGGAAAGGTGGAAATTGGTAGAATAGAATCCCCAAAAAACACATACAATTTAACTAGAACACAGGACTCCTGAATCCCATCAATCAGATTTCACCTTTGGGAGGTGCTTGGCTCACAGATCTCATACAGAGAGTCCTCAGGAACAGGGAGCATCGTTGGTCTAGTGGGCATTAGCTCTCCTGCCATTCAAATCCCCAGATCCTCTCCCACTTTGTACTCTAGTGTTTAACCTTTCCGGGTAGAAGAGGATCAATACAAATTCTTCATTGTTAAGAATCGATGGCTTTCCTGTGGCATCATTGCCATCGAGTCTTGCTGAGAAGCCCAGTAAATCTCTTCAGTGCTTCTAAAGCTTGGTTTGTCATCTTCAGTTGCTTTCATTTTTAATGCGGATCACTTTGGTTTCTGTTCCCCTGGGGGCTTGCAGATAAATCTTGGCAGACATGTTCAGGGTCTACAAATGAGATGCTGGAAAAGGGCCAGCCCACCCAGAATTTAGTTGTAATGGATGAGACACCCCCATGGTTCCACTTAAGGACTGAGCTATTTGTTTTAGTATTTATTGGTGATTACCTCATATAGTACCTGGGTGGAAAGTGCCCAGGATGAAGCTCCCATGTAACAGAGGAGGCCAAAATGTGAGCTGTGATACAGAAGCAGCTGGCTGATTCAGCCTCTTGTGAATAGCAGGAGTCAGAGACTTGTACCTTCAAATGCATAATGAAGAAATGAGCTAGGTTGTTTAGATGTCCCGGATCAAGAAAGTCTGGAGGGAAACTTCTTCATGCTGCTTATTTACAAACCAACTGAAAAATTACCTACCTGACTTTCTTTTATTAATAAATAAATATATTATCATATTGTTGAACAGCATCCTACTAGGGGTGATCTGTAAATATTTAATGTTAGTTAATGATCTCCTTCTCCCATAATCTTTTGCTCATGCTGAGTGCTTGACTGTATTTCATCTGGACCCCCCTGAATATTAGGTTTCCTAGGGGCCCTAGCAGAACTCTAGTTTCCATTTGCAACAAAAATGTGGCTCCATGAAAAAGACAAGAGTCCTTTTCACTTTGATTTCTCTTCTCTTTGATCAGTGGACTATGCCAGTTATTACCAAGGACTATGGGATTGTTATGGTGAACAGCCAGACGAACTGTCCTTCCAACGGGGTGACCTCATTCGCATTCTGAGCAAGGTAAGGACACAGAGTATGGAACTTGGATCCAAAGTTGATTTTTTCACTCTTGACGGTGTAGTCACCACAACCAGAATTATTCTGTTATAACACTTTTCAGGATAAGTTCCATGGCTCCATCACACACAGAATAAATTTCCATTTATTTATAATTGCCAGGGGACATTTTAATTGAAAATTCAGATTTAGAGATCAATTTTCAAATTTCAAAATACAATCAAGTAAACATAACCTTAAAGTTATGCCAATTGAAATCTGATCCTTTTCAAGGGCTGGGATACTTAAAGGTCATTGCTGTGTACATAATTTATTACTATATAATACTATTGAAAACATTCCGGCTAAGTAAGCTGCCTTCTTATTTCATTTGTAGATAAATGAGACTGTAATATAATTACCTATGGGGGGAGGAGTCAGAATTAGTTAGCTCAATTGGTTTGACCAAGTGCTGATAAGGCCAAGATAGTGAATCCAATCCTGCAAAGGCCAGCTAACTCCCTTCTCTTCCTCAATCAAGAGTTAACCCATAGACCCAGCTGACCATCTCACAAATGGTACTGTTGATCAGAAAGGAATAGGGTTAAAAAAAAAAAGATGGATTATTGCCAATCCTTTACTAATGTAAAGATTCCAAATTCATGGGTTACAATTTGAGGATCCAGTACATACCATCCTTGTAAAAGACCACCCATGGTCTACAAGCAGGCTAAGATAGTAAGTTCTGTCCCTAAAGATAGTATTAAAAAGGCCTCTCTTTCTATGCAGCCAATCGATATCTACAAACATACTTTTGAAATAGGTACAATTTGCTCTTTAATTGCTGAGTATGTGGATTTCGTAAAGGAAAATTGAAAGCCCATTGTGTTGTTAACTCATCATTTACCATTTATCTTTATTCTGTGAATGTTACTACCTAGGCCAAGGGCTTGTCTGGGGTTTGAAATATACAATAAGCTCCTTGAGAAACAGACCAGATCTGTACCTGAGGTATCTTTCAGTGGTTCCAGTGAATCAGGCCCCTTAAACAAGGACTAAATTCGAGCTAACCCTACAGGCCCTGATGAGTGAGAACATAATCTTCTAGTGATTTCTCCTGGATCCCTAACTCAACACCACCCTAGTGCCATTTCGGTGCAGCTCCAATACACCAAGAATAAATTGGAAGCAAAGAAGGGAGTGGACATTGGCCTGATTGGTATTTCAAATGCCCGAAAGCAAGGTTTACCGTGTAATAGAATTTGTGTACATTACCACGCTGGCATTACGGGGTAATCGAGTTATCCACTCAGGTGTGACCAGGCCTCTGTTTGCCCAGAGCCTGCAGGTGAACAAATTAACTGTTTACATTGTCTGGAGGTGCCTGCAGCAGGAGGGGGGGAGAACAGAGCCAGACTGTCTGCTGGCCCTCTCTCTCAGTCATGATTATTTTGTTTGTTTTGCATGTCTTTTGCCTTTGTTAATGGCTTCTCACTGGGGGTCCCTTTCCTCCAGTTAGAAGGGGCTGTGCAATGACCTGTCCTGCAATATAGAGCTGTCCGAGGTTACCATGGCTATGGTATTTTTAAGAAATTCCCAAGAAACATGGGGGAAACAAACTCCACATGTTTTTTTTAAACCATCTTCTCTTCCCCTCCTCCATTACTAAAAGCTAATAAGTCAGAGTTTAATTCAGTGAAAATACCTTACTGCTCTGGTTCCATCAGCTTCTTTCTCCTCTCTTCTGGAAGGTTCTGAGTCCATTTGGATCCCTAATCATCCTAATATTTCTCACCACCACCACCCCAAGGGTGGACCATCCTCCCTTCCCCATGTTGCTAATCTCTGCTTATCTGAAGAGGAAACCAGAAGGTAGGAACACAACAAAATTTCCCTCATAGAGGTTCCTTCTAGTTAATGTTGGTTTGGGGAGCATCTCAAATAGGATTTGCCTTGATTCTACTACCTAACTCAGAGTTCTTGGGCAAGAAGGAACCTTAAAAGACGACCCAGTCCATTTCTTTACTTCTAAGAAGCACAAATGAACCAATTCAGACAGAACATTCTGCCACCATCCCTAGCCATTTTTCTATTCAGAAGTTCAGTTGTTAATACTCTAGGATCGTCTCTCCTATGGATCCTAAATTCATCCCACTTTAGCCAGTAGCACCTTTGTTGAGCATCAAAGCCCCACTGTCTAGAAACCTGGGGAAGCCTTTTCCCCAAGAAAGCACAAGATGCAACCATGTGGCTCAGCTTACCTGGATTCATTTCTTCATTTGTAAAATGAGAAAATCGTGTTGGACAACATGGAAGGTTTTCTGTACCTCAGACATTTCCCCTTCCGACACAGTGGGCCTGACCCTGTAAAACCGCTACAGGAGCCCCACACAAAAATGTGGGGCTTCAATTACTCACTCAGATTAAACCACAACAAAAGTTACAGCTACTAGCTCTTTTGTCTTCAGATCTCATAGATGCATCTGATTTCCTCTCTCTCTTTGTCTCATAAAAGGAATATTGTGAAGAGAGGATTGGACCAGAAGAAGAAAGTCTCCTGGGTAGGGAAGTGGACAAGGAAGTGAGGAAGGGAGGATGGCAGATTTTAGTCCAGGACTCCTGCTTGCTTCCTGCTGCTTCTTTATTTTTTTCCCCTTTTTTCTGGGGGCGGGGGAGCCCTCATGCATGTTAGATAAGTCCTCTACCGTTAAGCTATACCCCCACCCCTGTTTGCTGTTTCTCAATAGACACCCAAGTAAGATCCAGCCTTGAATCCTAGAATCCTAGGCCCAACCTCAGGTGAATTTTTGAGTCTTGCCTTTGGGTAGGAGTGATCCCAGAAAGAGAAGAATTTATCCCAAAAAAGAAAAAGAAGCCAGGCACAGTGGCACAGCACGCCTGTAATCCTAGTGACTAGGGAGACTGAGGCAGGAGCATTGCAAGTTCAAATCCAGCCTCTGCAATGAAGTGAAGCCCTAAGCAAATTAACAAGAGCCTGCCTCAAAATAAAAACTAAAAAGAGGTCTGGGGATGTGGATCAGTGGTGAAGCACCCCAGGGTTCAATCCCTGGTATGAAAGAAAGGAAGGAAGGAAGAAAGAAGGAAAGAAAAGAGAGAGAGAAAGAAAGAAAGAAAATGAGAGACAGAGAAAAAAACTTCTCCAGAGATGATTGCCTGAAGAAAGATGCACCCCATAGTTAACCAAATGCCCATTGCCTGTCCTGTTCTCAGAGAAACAAGTAACAACAGATGCCTTATTTATGTGACCCTGGAGAAAGTCACTTAACCTTGCTAATCCTCAATTTCCTCATCTGTAAAAAGTGGGATAATTTTTATTCACAGGGTCATAGTGAGACTTCCACTAGAGATATGGGTAAAGAAGAGCCCAGCACCCAGGAAATGGAAACTAGCATTATATTCTGCTAACTTCTACTAATAATAAACCTTTTAGACCCATGTTGGGCACATACTAGGAGTTCACTAAATTATTGGTGAATTCAGAGAGAAAATAATGTGGTTCACATGCCAAGAACTCTTCATAGAGATGTTCTAAGACACAATAGGCTCTCACTTCATGTAGAAAACTACCCATTGAAGAAGACTGTGTGGAAAATCACTGTGCTTTTACTGGTCCAACAGATTTCATCACTGACATCTGATAGTCTCCAAAGTTCTCTTCCAGGAGATGCCAAAGCTGTGTACCTAAGCTCCAGAATAGGAACTAACAAGCAGTCAGCAGGAAGACTCCTGCTGACCTCCCCACAACCTGGCCAAGCAATCCTCAGGCCCCACACAGCTTCATGCCCACTTAATTCACTGACTTCCAATTGAGGTCTTAAAATATATTAATGGGAAATTTTAATAATGAAGCAGATCTGAGCCTCCAGTGAATGTTCCTGCATTCCTTTTGGGCCCAGATATTTCTTTCTGAACAGCCTTCTCTGGGAAGGGACTGAATTTCCCTTCCTCCCTGGAGCCAGGACACAGCTCAGGCCACAGCGGGGCGTTTAGCGCTCTTCAGTGGCTCCAGATTGTGGCGCTGGTGCCGGTCTCTTCATACGTAACCGATGGCTCCTGAGAGCCTGCCTCTCGTAAATTACTTCCCACGATGCCAGCGACCACCGCAGAATTCAAGTTCGAATAGAGCAGGAAAAAGGTGTTTGAAAGGCCTGTTCACTCAGCTGCATTTTAATTTCCTTTTCAATCTTGTCCCAATTAATTTCACAGAATTAATCTCACAGAAGCAAACTCGGCAGCACCGAGGCTGCGGTTTTAGTGAGGCGGTCGCTCTGCCTGAACATGAAATAGGAGCTAATATAAAAATCCATCTGCTGTGTTTGAAATACACGCCGGCTGCTGCTCGGTCCTGTCTGACATTCCAAACATCAACAGCGGGGGGGAAAAGTGATTTGGGGGTTAGTGGCCATCAGTACTTGGCAGGGGTTCAACAACAGGTGTACTCCAAAAATCCATTCAGCCTGGGCACCAGGCATGACAGGGCAGGTGCTGAATCACCCTCCGTGCGATAACACCGTGCCCTGGCTTAGTTCCTTTCATCTGAGGATCATAAGGCCCTTCTGTGGACCTGGATCAGCACCACTATGGTCACTTGTTATATAAGGAGGAGAAAGAAAGGTAAGAAGCCTCTATTTGGATAAAACTAGTCACGAGACCCAGCTTTCAGGGTAGTGACCCTGACTTAGTTCCAAGGTCTTTTACTGGGGAACCATTCCTTCTAAATAATAAAAGTGCTTCTTCCATTGTTTGAGATCACTCTTATGTGAATGCCCATTTGAAAAATAAGGTTCATGTTCCAAAAGTAATTGGTGATGGTAACATGAGCTGTCCAATAGATAAAGGCAAATTAAAGAGAGAAACTCTTTTTCAATTACTAGAAAGGAAAAGAGGCCCCTACATGAGTTTAAAATAAACTGAGCCAGGAGGGGATACCTCTTGGGCTTGGCTGGTGTGCTTGGTCTTGAAAGCTCCTCTAAGGCTTTATCCAGTGTCTTATTTCCATGGAA